TCCGGAGATCTGAAAGCAAAGCGCAGAGATGCGCGCTGAGCTCAATAAATTTCCCAAAGCTCTGTCCTGTCCTCTACGTACTGGGGCCTCCTTCCTGCATTAGCGAGGTGCTGGCCTTTGAGGGACCTTATCCTTTGCCAGCCCTTACCCTGCTTGCTTGACACCTATCCCAGGTATCTGCCCTTCCCCGCAGCAGTAATCTGGGTCCTCTGCCCTCCATCTCTATTCATTCTAGCGCCCCCACTCCATCTTCCCTCAGTCATGCTGATTTCCGTATCTCCTTCCTTGTGTCTCTGGGCGTGCTGCTCTGACCCCAGGCTCTGAGCCTCTAGCCCTTAGGAAGTACTAGGGTTTGCTTCACCGCCCTGCTGTTTCCTAGCCTTTCTTCCCTGGCTCCTCCCCAAAGCCCAGCTGGATAGCCTGGAGGAAGGAGAGCTGAGCCATTATGACTAGGGCAACCTAATGGCTCTGGTCTCTATGCCCTGGCCCTTAATTGAGTTCCTCTTTGATAATAGCAGATTGGGATAAACTGTATATGGACTCAGGAACAAGCCTCCTTCTCAACAACTCGTTCTGGCTTTTCTGTTTCAGAAAACCGGCCATTCCCGCCGGGCCTTTGGCCGACTTACCCATGGTGCGTGGACTTCCGGTTGCTGTAGCCCATGGCCACTTCTGTTCTATGCCCCTTCATGAGGCACCACAGCCCTGAAGATAGCCCATGAGATAGCCCCTCTGCATCTATCCATCCCCAAGAAAGACCACTATTCTCTGCAGCTGAGAGAGGCCCCAGTGTTTGGGAAGGGGCTCCCTAGCACACCCACCATGGGCCTCGGCTCTCTGTTGTCCATCTGTGGCACCAAAATGAGAAGCATTGCCATGTTCTGGCAATGACTACAGGGCCCCTGTTTGTTATGGTACCTGAAGGGGAACTGAGGCACAGAACATGATAGGCTCTGGGATGTTGAAAAAATACCCAGGGATCTTTGCTCCTAACTTAACCACAGCATTTTTTGAGGACCATTCAGTAGTAGAAAAGTTCTCGAGGAAAGTAGCTGCCACTGCTCGATGCAGACAGATGGCAGTGCATTTGCAAGGAAGGGCCAAAGTATAGTGCAAAGCCTGTAATAGAAGATGGGCCTGATGCCTAGCACTAGGGAGGCAAACCTGAGTCTGTGGCTGGGCACAATTGTGTGTGTGTGTGTGTGTGTGTGTGTGTGTGTGTGTGTGTGTCTAGTGAGAGAACCAGTAAGTGCTGAGGGTACCAGAATCACTGGGCATTTGAGATGACACCCTAAGAATGTGGCTCCCCAGTGTTGGTACATTCTGGGCATCTCCCGTCCAAATCCCACAGGACATCTCTGGTACCTTTGGGCACCAGGGACCCTTATGCTCCCTCTGTTATGCCTACCTCCCATGCCCCATCCCACAAACACTCTGATAACTGTCTGTCCACATCTCTCTCCTGCTGCTCCTATGGAAGCGAAGTTTTCCGCTCCTGCAGAAAGCAAAGTTACGGTAGGAAGCTGGCTGCTGCCCTAGTCCCTCATTCCCTTCCCCTACCCAGTCTGGGCTTCTCCTCACCCTGCCTCAGTTACACCCTGATGCCTTCCGGCTGGCTTGGGGTTCAGGACAGCCTGGTCCTGCTGTTGGTTGCGTGCCTTGACAGTCCAACTCTGAGGTGACTCCTCTTTGTTCTGGGGGGACCAGAACCTAGACTTTTGAACCCTGGAACTTAGGGCCTTGTTATGTGGGATGCCGCTATTCAAGACCTTAAGGTGTTATGGATGTGGAGAGGGTGGAAGAGGTCCTGGTAAGCCATTAAGTGGGTGGGGGTGACTTATTTGAAGGGGTCCATGGAGGAAAGGGTTATCATTCAAGGGTGAGTGGTCCAGAAATGGACACAGGCCATCATCATGGGAGGGGCTACCTCAAGCATCCCAGGCTGGACACGTGGGAGGCAGGAGCAAAAGAGAGTAGATTGGGTCCTGGAAGCTCTCCCTGTGATTAAGATGGAACTTGCTGTGGGGGAGGCAGGAGGCGACTAGGGAAGAGTTGGAGGCATAGGGAGGAGGTCCTTGCCCACACAGACCCCTTCTTCTCCAGACTCCGAGACTGCTGAGGATGACATCAGCGATGTGCAAGGGACTCAGCGCCTGGAGCTTCGAGATGACAGGGCCTTCAGCACCCCCACGGGTGAGCTTTCTGGGTGCTCCAAGAGCAAGCAGACTGGCTTCCCACAAAGGGTGCCTCTGTCTCACTGTGCTCCTTTCTTTAGGGGGCTCTGACACCCTTGTGGGCACCTCTCTGGACACACCCCCGACCTCCGTGACTGGCACCTCAGAGGAGCAAGTGAGCTGGTGGGGCAGCGGGCAGACGGTCCTGGAGCAGGAAGCGGGCAGCGGGGGTGGCACCCGCCCCCTCCCAGGCAGCCCAAGGCAAGCACAGACAACCGGGGCCGGGCCACGGCACCTGGGGGTGGAGCCGCTGGTGCGGGCATCGAGAGCTAATCTGGTGGGCGCAAGCTGGGGGTCAGAGGATAGCCTTTCGGTGGCCAGTGACCTGTATGGCAGCGCGTTCAGTCTGTACAGAGGACGGGCGCTCTCGATCCACGTGTAAGTAATGGCCTCACCTGGGCCCACACTGTCTCATCTCACCATGCTGTCCCTTGTGCTGCCCCGTCACTGCTCCACTGTTAGCCTCCATCCAATCTCCGCCTCATCCATCTCTGTGCACTCCATTCCCCACTGCTCCCACTCCTAGCACTGGCTACACACTCTCTTTCCACACCACTCCTTCCGTTGCCATCACCACCCACCGCCTCCTGCTCCCACCTGTGCAGGCTCACCGTGCCATCTTCATGGTCGTGTGGACCCCCTCTGTCCCTTCCTCTTCTCCTCTCCGGGCTTCAGTTTGTCAGGGCCCCTCTCCCGCCTCGCCCATGTAGGCTCCAGTTGTCCCAGGGCCCCCCCCCCTTCAGGGGCCCCCTCCATGCCTGCTGTCTCAGCAGCTGCTGCCTTTCATCTCTCTGCACATTCCTGTTCCCATGTGGGCCTTTTTCTGGGAGGAACAGAACCTTTCTGCACGGCAGCTCCCGGGAGAGCAGGAGAGAGCAAGGGAGCGAGACAGCACCCAGGAGAGAGAAGAGAGCAGAGCGAGGTGGTCAGGGGCAGCTAGGCCAGGGGGCCTGTGGAGGACACCGGGAGGTTGTGGGTGGGGGGGAGGCGGGGGCTGAGAGATGAGGAGCGGGTGGGGATACAGAGCTGGGGTGGAGGTGGAGGGTTGGAGTAACAGTGGCAGGGAGCATGGGATGTTCTCATGGACAACACCTGAGGATGTGTCCATGGCTGACCTGGTAGGGGGCAATGACAAGCGGAGGTGTTGGGGTGAGGTACTGAAGCCATTTTTGGAGATTTAGGGAATGACAGAAACAGGAGGGGGTGCTATAGCAGAAGAGGGGAGTGGCTGACGTTAGATGTAATGGTGTGTGTTTGGGTAACCGAAGAGGGGCTTGATTTGTGATGGGTGTGGGTGCTGGGTAGATACGGACGATAGCAAGGGGCCCTGGTGTGTTTTTTAAGAGTGTGGTTTGAGTGGCTAGTGATGGGCAGGGGAGAGGCCTAGGTCCATGGCAGGGGCCTAGGGAGCTCCTTTGGCTTATCTTATTGGCGATATCAGGCACTCCTTCCCTGCCTTTCTTTCCCAGGCCCCAGCCTGAGCCTGGAGTTGCTATGGCAACTTCAGAGGAACCCATTTCCTTAGTGATATCTATGGAACAGAGTGTGGCCTAGAGCTGCGAGCTGCCTGGCAAGAGGTCTGCTCTGCTGTCCCCAATTTCTCTCCAGGCCTCACCTAGTTCCCTGAGACCATTCCTTAAGGACTCTGCCGCCCCTCCCTCACAGTAGACTGTGGCAGGCATCTGAGGCTTTTCTCCTTTAGCCCTTCCCCCTCTTCTAGGCAGGGGCGGGTCTCCAGCGTGGGTGGTGACTCAGGTAGTCTAAAATATCCTTACATTGAAGCTCACATAGAACTTATGCTCCTGGATGGTATTGTACCATTTCTTCTCCTTTCCGTGTTCCCAGAAACCCAGGCAGTTGGAAGGGAGCAAAAGCTTAGGGATCAGGCTGCTTTTCATCCTTAACACCACTTCCTAGCTGTCACCTTGGGAGGGCACTGGCCCTCCTTGAATCAACCTCAGTTTATCTATCAGTAAGTAGGGACAATATCAGTCCCTCTATTGAGGGTCTTTTGTGAGACTTTGGATAAGTCAGTGAAGGTGAAGCCTTACTTCATGCCCGGCACACACTATTCAGTGAGTTAGCTTGCTCATGAGTTTTCTGCTCTAGTATGTCAGGTATGATACGAGCTCTCAGATGCCTTTTCTTGCCAGTCTTCATGTGTAACGTGACCTTTCCCCATACAGAGGGGGGAAACTGGGATCTAGCTCCTGGATCCCACCTATTTAATTTAAATAGAATTAAAATTTCCCCATACAGAAGGGGGAAACTGGGATCTAGCTCCTGGGGATCAAATTTCTATTTAATGAGGAGGTACTGGGTTGACGGGCTTCTTCACTGCTCATTCCCCATCCCCAACACACACACACACACACACACACACACACACACACATACTCTTTGTGCGGCCCCACTTGGTAGTTATTTCTAAGCAGGACTACTTCTGAGTATGCCCCTAAAGGAGGACTTCTGTCCTCTCAGAAAGGTTTCCAAGGAGTCAGATTTTTTTCCCATGGAGGTAGAGAGACCTACACTAGGGGTACATTGATCAAAAAGTATGCCACAGGGATAGGACACTGATCTCTAAAGGCTATGCCTAGTGAGGCGGCAGTTCCTTTTTTTAGGGACCACTGTGAAGGACAAGTGCCCTGTCCAGACTGGGCAGGGCTGCTGTGGGGACCAGCTTGGGGCAGGAATGAGTAGCAGGCACATTCCTGAGAGGAGCCCCTCCCTATCTACCCCTCGTGTTTTCCCTCACTATCTCATCTTTGGGTCCTCATCGTCCTTTCTTTTTCTCTCCCTCATGCTCAGTTCTCGCTGTGTCCCAGCTTCCAGGGCTGGGGGGAGGGGGCTGGCCGGAACCTCTGAGGCTGAGTCTGTATCTGGACCCAGTTATTAACCCAGTCTTCTAGTGCATGAGCCGCAGGCCTCTCCCCAGCACCTGCTCTGGCTGTGCCCTCGTGGGGGTGGGGGGGGGACAGGATGGGGGTGGGACAGGAAAATCTGGCCTGTGTCACCCCAAGCCTGCCCAGCATGCCCCACTGCCTAATCCCTCTTACAAGCTAGGGGTCTAGGAGGAAAGGCCCCCTGAGTCCTCCACCCCTCTCGGCCTTGGTTCTACAGCAGCATTCCTCAGAGTGGATTGCGCAGAGAGGAGCCTGACCTTCAGCCTCAGCCAGCCAGTGATGCCCTTCGTCCACGTCCTGCCCTTCCACCTCCCTCCAAATCCGCGCTGCTTCCCCCACCATCTCCTCGGGTGGGTAA